ATTGCCATGGCGACGAACTCCAAATTTAGACTGTGCATATCTTAATGGTTTTGGATGTAGCACACATTTTCAACAAAGCAGGATTTTCCTATTCGCACTAAGCAACAATTTTTGCACGTTTAATAATGTGGTGCGCCGAGACATTCCGGTAAGTAGTGGAATGCGACAACTTTTGCCCTCCCTCTCTACATGCATTCGAGCGGAAAGGAAGTGAGTGGGGCCGCGAGACAACTCCAGAATCATTCCGTCCATCGTATTTGCGGTGGCCATAGAATTGAACGTACCTGGTGTAGGCAAGTCATTCATGCATTTAGACTGAGATCGAGGAGTTTGCTTCGTAGTTTTTATTAGTAATACATGATGGAGATTTTCTCACGTAACAAACTAGCCTTTTAACTATCAGAGTGGTGTTGTTTGGGAGCACGTGTGGCGTCAATGTCACATGTCAGTTTGGCATGCCACTTGGGTTTACTGGAAGGGTTGAATTTTATTACCTGCAGTCACATTTTATCCATTCTCCTTTTGGTAATAGTGCCAAATATTGCATCTAATGAGTATAAATCAACTTCTGCCACGCTTTTTTATTTGACAGGTATTTCTGTTTGTTTTGGTGGTGCGCATTGCGTCAAAGAAGAGGTAAGAAAGGAACAGGAATGCTTATCAAAAGAATGGTATGATCGTCTACAAGCAGAGTGCGCTGTGTGTGCACGGGTGTAGGATGGTGTTGGCGTTGAGAAAGCATTGCAATTTAACACGTTAGGGTTGCATTGGGACTAGGCGTCGGAGGTGCTTTTTTTCTGGCCAACGCTAGGAGAGGGGAATGGTTGATTCATTGATGAGTGGACGGTTGGATGCGGGCGTATGCAAACGAAGGAGTCAAATTACCCATCTTTTAAGTGCCCTTTACTTCGCAATGCAAACAAACAACCACTGCATTCGAGTTGCACGAGGACCTTTACATGCTTAATTTTATTCCTCTCTAGCAAGCGATCTTTGATAAGTTTTGTTTTTTCAGCATTCTGTGAAGTTTCCTTTACACCACCAGCAGCTAGCTACCTCCAATATCGTAACTATTGATGGTGGAACGTCGTCGCGTCCTCATTTGGCTTTTCGCTGTTTACACTGTAAAATAGAAGCAACAAGTGATTACTTGTAAACATTTACGTTTATTTGTGGCTTAAGCTCATTGGTCCACACGCCATCCTCGCGATAAGGGTGAGGCAATGTTTTGGCTTCAAGACAATAGATTTTGTGGGGTGGTCTATTAATAGGTCCCTTTTGTGTTGGCAACATAATCAAGATAATCTCACCACTAATCAATGCTTTCAAAAATGATCGTTTTTTCACTTTTTCTTTCCCTCTTTCAGATTCGAGAAAGTGGATCTTTTTCTACTCAGAGTAGGAAATAAAGCACTTGGTTTAATGTCTTTACAGCAGCTGCCTCTGCTATGTGCTTAACTCTGCAAGAATCATAAAACAGAGACGGGATGAAATTTGACACCTTAGTGAAAAGAAGGAACATCGACTAGTTTAGACGCAGGCAGTCCGCTGCCTCCTTCTACCGGACCACATAACGTCTGCAATGACGGAAAAATGTCAATGTAATTTCATTGACAGATGTTTACCTCCCCATCTCCTTTCGCACTGTGGGATTTTTTCTACCGAACGTACTTATTTTACTTTGCAGGCGTTCAACCTAGCCTTTAGATAAATAAGTCCACCGAAGGGCTGAGTCACTCATTCTCACAGCCTAAACATCGATCGTTCCCGAGTCTGTTACGTGCGCATCGATCCGTGCTACAGCTAACCAGATTTAGCCATTTGAAACATTTAAAGAAATAGTGATACACTCATAAGCCAAGTGAAGTGGGGGCGGTTACACATTCTTTGAATGGTATTTTCCTTAATACGAGTCAAATGGCTAATATTTGGCTTTTGGTAAATGCACATAAAATAGTATTGTACACGGTAATTATTTGCAAGTCGCGTTTAAGATTAAAGAATCCCTTCCTGCGATAACGCCAACGCAGTAACAGCCACTGCCCAGGGGCTTGATGGCATTCACTGGCGCCTCTGGGGCGTCGAGACTCTTGACATTGTCTGAGATAAACAAATTACATCCATCGACAAATACTTACTTCCTCAGTATCCTAATTAAAAGGACAATTTATTCTGTTGATAGTGAGATTCAACTAAGTCTTGCCTCACCTGCAATTCATGTTCGCAGGCTGAATAGTATTCGAGATAGGTCAAAAACAAACTACAAGCGTTTGGACTGTCGTCCAACTGGGCCACAAAACATACCAAAAGTACAACCGCCACACTATACGCATCACACTGTGTTCCGGGCGATTTGCTGCCCTCGTGGCTATAGGCACAACTCAAATCTCGTTCCAATTAAGCATGGTTTTTACTATGAACTTTTGCCAGCAAAGGTATTCATTGATTGGATAGTCATTCAGCCAATAGAATTGTTCGATCATCGAATAAGTAGTTCTGACATTTGGTCTCGAGAAGGCAGGCAGCCTTATTTCATGCTGCATTCAAAAGCGATTAGCTTATTTATTTTTTTGTAACTAATACGCAAATATCATGCAAATAGTGCTGAGAATATTTGAGTGTATTAGTCACAACCTTGCTGTCTACGTTGATTGTTGTATGATCACTAAGAGGCATGGGATATACAGTTTGCCTGACGTTAGATCACGTTTATCGTTTCTTTTCCTTGCCATAGGTTGAAAAGAACACGGGTAACGCCCGGGATGTTAACGAAAGTGCGTTTTTTTCTCCAGACTTTTGCGCATGCTTTACTTCACTGGAGCTGCAGTTTTAGTGACGGAAGCGGACTGTTTCATTGTCACATGCATGATGTGGATCACGTGGAAGAAACAGGTGATCCTATAATTTTGAATGCGAAATTTCTCCCCTCTCCCCCGCTCCACCCCAGCCCATCACATTCCCTTTACTTCCGATTAGGCCGATTCACTAAATTCTGTGTTGAATGCACCCGAACAGGCGGGGAGCTTAATGGCTCTGGGGCATTAGGCAACGCATCACTTGACGGCACCTTAATGACGTCAATTTACGCGTTTTGAAGTTCACTTTAGCGTTTTCGACGATAATTTAACGAAAACTTACTCTAAGCGAAAGAACTTTAGTCGTCGCGCTACTTTCTCAAGGAATCGCATTTAATTAGATGCAAAATGTAACAATGGAGAACTTCTCTTTAAAGTGTTTACTCAAATTTCTTCTTGGTGCTATTTCCCAGAAGTTAGGTTTTGTTTGACTTAAAAAAGAGTAGTTAACGTGTGCCGACTTGTTAGAGGGAGCCGAGAGGGTCGTCTTCGATCAAAAAGAAACTCTCATTCAGGATTTTATGTGTTAGGTGGCTTATAGATGTGTTTAATTTGATTTTCTCCCATTTCGTCAAACAATTGTTTATGGCATTTTATTTGTTCCTTGTATTTGGCAGTAGGCCCTTTCTGAAAATGGAGAATGGCTGGCTGCAGACTTTGTTCCCCCGTCTGGTCACGGGTGGATGGTTGAGGAGACTGGATAGAGGCAAGAGATGTCTGGCTGAATCAAAGGCATCTGAATTGCGGGTTATCGGGGAGACTGGCGGGTGCTTCATCGCTGTTGTCGAGGCTTGGTGGAGCGAGGATGTGTTTGGAAGACGGGGCAGTGGATCATCAGTGCACTTCTACTTGGTTGTCTTCTGTAGGGGCAGTTGGCAAACTGGCAGTTAGTTGGGTAGGTTTTGATTATAAGGTGGGCAATGACGGTGATGGATTGTAAGGATCGCGATTCTTCTGTGTTTACTCACTCCATTCATCTACGCATAATCTATTCACTGTCTATTTTTGCGTGTAAATTGCGCTGTTATGATAATGCCGCCGATGTTTCACTGCGATAATGAAGTTACGGCGGTGGAACTTTGTGTATGCATTTTTCAGTGCCGACACTACAAGATGCGTAATTTAGTGATGCTTGCAAAATCCAATTAAACAAGACTATCGCTTTAACCCTCTCAACCTTTGGCGTTTGGATTCAAATTTTGGCAGGTGTGTTATCAGTTAGGGCATCTCAAATGCACATACACACTCGCACACACAGAGAGATAGAGAGAGAGTAAATACACACATTTGTAAGCGGTGAAATCATTGAAAATCTCACACACCGCCACTACTGCTACTGTTTCTGTTGCTACGAGGCAAGCGTGTACCTGCCACTAGGTGTTACGTCCATTTCGCCTAGATGACACAGCTAGGCTGATCTTACCTTTTTTGTTTCTAAAAAGCTGATGGTAAATATCCACCATTGGGGTAGGTATGATTACCCTATCGCCCTACTTTACCTCTAACTGTCACGTCAACACGA